AACATACGAAAGGTTGGCAGATGCAGCAAAGGCCTGTTGGTTCCCAAGATCCTGGTGAACTCCACGTCTTTCATTTTCGCCATTTGAGTCACTGTCTGACACATCTACCGACTCAGATTCTTCCACATCTTCTACATCATTTTCCAAATCATCATCTACCAATGTGTTACAATGACTTGGACCGGCAGTCGAATCGAAGCCATAAGAAGGCACATGATTCGGCGATACGGGGTGTGTAAAACTTTGAATCGAGTCAAGGCCTTGAACATATTCAACATCCATCCTTAAGCCTGACGTGAACCGTGGCTCTACCAAGTCCCTAACACAATCCTCATGTGGTCGTTGTGATGCCGATGCTGTCTCTGGTACCACTGTACTAGAGTATGATCGATACCTAGTTGGATCCATGCATGCATGGACAAGCGACATCATCGGACCAATATTGGTAGTTGGTGGAATGAATGTGCTACTAACTCGAGGATTTTGGACTATTTCCTCCTTCTCGATATAAAGTTCAGCGATGTATGGGACAATTTCGTTCCAGACATCATACATTATCTCCAGAGTTTCATCATCCACCACTGGAGAGACATTATAAGAAGTACGGCCACAAGGTTGGCGGAGAAATAAATTCAACTTGAACAGCCCCCTATCGACCCCCATGTATTGATAAATTCTATCCACCAGTTCATCATATCCAATTCTATGCCGTAATGAGAATGTACGGTTGGAGGTACGAGGCAAATAACAAATTGACCCATCTTCATAGTGTATTTTACCTCTCCAATAAAGAGATAATCGCAGAGGTCTTTCTATAGACATATCAAAGAAAACAATTCCTATGTTGGAAAAAATAAAATATCATTAGTAGTACAAAACTATGTAAAGTGTATTAATCTAGTACGTCAACAATTTTTGCAAAGTGTATTAATCTAGTAATTCAATAATTTAAATACCTATAAACTAATTAAGAATTCGTAGTTACTCAACTACTTATAATAAAACCAACATATTATATACCACATAAGAAAGAAAAGTTAACAATTATTATTTGTAGTGAAATACAAAATAAGAATGAACAACAATAGTAGTTTATTTTTTTTTTGTTATTGATACTACTAATAATTGATTAATCAATTTCTCTATTTTGTTATTATATATTTGAAAAGTTAAATTTCTTAAATGACATTGAATTCAACATTTGGGAAAAAAATCTTTTACTCACATACATTTTTTTTGTATAAAATATTGACCTACGAAATTAAGATATCCACCTTATTTTGACTAATCTAGTCTACTTATTTACACAATTGTTTAAAGAAAAAAAGGAAGAATTTAAAAAGAAAATTAACAAATATGATACATTAAAAGGGGAAAATTTTTCCAAACATATCATTCAAGAGGGCAAAATGCCTATCATTATAGTTTAGGGGATAAACTGTAACTGGGTAAATAGTTTATAGGGGTTTTTTGCATTTAACCCTTTATCAAACAATTATTTCGTGATTATTTTTCTTATAGAGTACAAGATATAATTTGCGATAAATGCAAAAATAAAGATCCAGCATAATAATCATTTCCAAATTTTATTTGTTTATTGTAATTTATTATTCATAATAGATATATATATATTTTGAAAAAATTAATTTTTAATATATATATTTTGAAAAATATATATATTTATTATGATTAACAAATACACATTGTCATTACTTTTTTTAAAAAAAAATTTGATAGAATCTCCCCTTAAAAGTCTAATTACTTTTTTTAATGCTCACAAGAGCTTAGGGAAGGTTTTTATTGTGAAAAATTGGAAGTTTTATGGATGAAATGGAAAATTAGGGTTTTGGTGAGAAGAGGGAAGAGGAAATCTGGAAAGTCTGAAACGACAAGCCTCGGATCGGTTCGCAATAGTCCTCGGATCCGACAAGCCTCGGATCCGTCTCACCAGGAACACAGACGATCCCTCGGATCCGGGCGGGTTTACTTGAATCCGAGCTCGTATCTTATGGATCCGGGGTCGGATTCGTCTGGATTGATTTCGATCCGACCTCTGATCATTCTTCCTCTGCACTAATTGCAGAAACTGCGATTTTCCAAACTTTTTGTCCCTTTTCCAAACTAATTGTCAGACTAAGCATGGCAAGCTAATGCGAGCCAAACCGAAAGAACAAGAAGGATTAAAAAATTGCCAAAACAGAACAGCCAGCTCAATTCAGCAAAACCAAAAATCCTGTTGAAACAACAAACAAACTGACAAACAAAAAAAAACATAAATTCATACCTCTTATGGCAAATTGGGAGGGAGGGGGGGAGATGCACGAATTCCAGACAGCTTGGCAGAAATGAGACAGCTTGGTTTCAGCGGACAGCTTCCGACGACAAAGATGAACGGGAAGATTTCGTCTGCCGAGATGTGAGCGATTTCGTCTACAATGGCAATGGCGGAGAACTGAGATGCTTGGAGCACTGACTACCTCAGCAAAGGAGATGAGAAAGTGACCTCCAATTTTTGCCGGCTACGAGACATTTGAATTGGGAAGAACAAGACTGAGTATCTTGCATTTGTCGAATGCGAGGTACCTTACCTCGCATTTCACAAATGCGAGCTACCTGTTGGCTGTTTTCTTTTCCGCACATCATTTCTCATCTTTTTTCCGGTACACTAACCTCGCATTTGTGAAATGCGATGTCAGTGAACTCGCATTTCACAAATGCGAAGACCCTAATGCTAGAACCAAACTCAAAAATTGCCCCCCTTGTAGAATAACTTATTTTTTCCATCACCATTTTAGAATTTTCCCCATAAACGCAACATCAAACAATTCAGCAATGCAGAACTATGATTACTCATTCCAAACTAAAGAAAACAACAAAAGAATTCGCTAGTTCAAAAAATTTCATATTTCACTCACACGGCCAAAAAAAACAATCCAAAAAAATCCCATCTTTCCTCACCCACTCCAACAACAGAGCTCTAATGAATTACTAGCAACAGTAAAAAGTTGAAATTTTGCGAAGAAGACCAAAGCATTGTACCTGAAAATGATCGAAAAGACGACGGAAGACCTCACACACAATCATGCACTGAAATTTGGGAGCGATTGATGGTGACAGCAACGAGGAAGGGGAGAGTTTTTCGGGAGAGGACAGAGCGGCTGTCTGCATGCAGAGGAAGTAAGAAGTAAGCATCAGTGGCACTGTTGTGATTATTGGTAGATGGAAGGGCACTGTTGTGATTATAGGCAGATGGAAGGGCACAGTTGGCATGAAAATCTTGTCCGTATGGGAGTTAATGGTAGATGGACCCAGTTGGATTTATACGACCATGACTTCACCGAGTTTCTTAGTAGGATAATGACGGTTGTACGTATTTTTGTTGGCATTTTGTTCTTTTTCAATTTTGCTCTTATTTTATCTTAATTTTTTTTAATATTTGTTGGTTTGAATTTGAACCTATTTTGCACTCAATTTTGTTGGATTTCTAAATATTTTCTTTAGTACTCATATTAAAAAGGATAAAATAGTTCGAATGCAATGATTTAAAAAAAAAGAAGAAAACATATCAATCTTATCCACATAGCTATAAATTAATTATGAACCTATGCCATTTAAACTTCTCCAACTAATATATTAGAATAATTTTTATATACACTATTAATGTATACGCTATCACAGTTGGATACATGACACATGAACAAATTTTAAATTTCAAATTCAAATTGTATACATGTGTCAGATATCTAATTGTGATAGTGTATACACTGACAGTATATATAAGATTAATCCAATATATTATACACAACTTCATTGTATTCACATTTCTCCAATTCTCCATTTCTAGGATTGTCCTAAACAAATAAGATTTTCGGGTTTCAGATTATGAGACTCATGCCTAACTCACACATATAGTGGAATTTTGGGCCAAATTCAGTTCAGCTCAAACTTACAATTAGATATAATTGTATATAATGAATATTAGGGAATTGAAGGAATGTGAGGGAAAGGAAATGAGAAGAATTGGAGAGCTTTAATATTTCTTGTCTGGACTGAATTTTGAGCAAGGAAAGGAAATGAAAATGGTTATTTTTATGACCAGAAACGGATAGCGAAGGAACCAAATTAAATGAAATAATTTAAATTTTCGTTTTTTAAGTTCTATCTAGTAACTAATGCTTATTGAGGAGGCCTTTATTTAGTAATTAAAATTGAGATCCCAATAATTAGAGTTCCTCTGTTCAAATTTCCCCTGCCCCTTCTCCCTTCTTAATTCCCACCACTTTCCTGCTGATGCTTTTCTTTCCTTTCTTTTCCTTCCCTAAACCAAACAACAAATCTAATTTATTCTTACTTTTCTTTCTATACTTAACCAAAAAAGAAAAATAGTGGAAACCACTTTCCTCTGGTGGCATTTCCTCTTCTTTTCTATTGGTAACCTTTTGTAGCCTTTTCATTTGTTTCCCTTCCTTTCCTTCAATGCAAATAGAAACGAGAAGGTTATCACGTTATGTCAATGGACTGTCTAGATTTCTTTTCTTTTTCCTTTGGGAAAATCTCCAATTTAGTCCTCAAACTATTTCACTAAAGCCGATTTGGTCCCTTAATATTTTATCGCATTAAGTCCTTTAACTAAAATTTTTGTGCCAATCGAGGACCTATACGGTGTCGCCACCCAAAACATACGTTTCTGTACCCAAACCAACGGCGAGGTAGGGGCTTTTTTGGAAGTAAAAAGTACAATTTTCTACAGAAAGCAAGATACCATTGCAAGGTATTTGATGCAGCTGGAAAAGTTTTTTTTTTCCTCGAAAGAAGGCCCCGCGAAGGGGGGTGGGAGGGGGATGGTGTTTCAAGAGAATTGAATTGTGTTTGATTAATTTTTTCTGGTTAATCAATAATTACTTTACAGTGGAGAATGATCCATCAACAGCAGCCATTTTGCTGTGAGAATGCTTTCATCCAAAGCATGCAGAAAAGAATAAGTAATAAAAAAAATTGAATTATGACTCTGCAATTAGAGATGAGGTATCTGTCTCTTCTGTCCAGCTGGAACTAGGTTCACTCCAGGACCGTGGTCTTACTCCCAGCTTGAAGAACAAGATCATTTCAAGGGCTTCAAAAACCTTGTATGTATCCAAAAGCTCATTCCAAACGCCACTTACGATGCAGTAATTGCTGTCATATAGAGGACGGTGATGAGCTCCGTGCATTGATCTAGATACCAGCACTCCAGCATCTTGCAGTGCCACCACCAATGGGTGAAGCTTGCTCTTTGTACTGTGAGCCCAGGCATGGAACTGCTGGCTAAACATGATGCAACCTAAGCAGACACCAACAAAACCATGCAGCACAGGATCATTGAAGATAAGGTCTATAGGGAGAACTGTGAAACTAACAGCTCGAGCTAGAGTATGCAAGTTGTTAGCAAATTGGCGCCTTGTGATGATCCACGGCCATTTGTGATGGCCTTGAAATGCTTCAATTTGACTACCAAAAACCGGGGTGTTTTCATGGTCGTAGTGGTCTGCCAGCACGTAGCCGACTAGCCCTGCTAAAATGGGCTGTAGCCATATGCCCGAATCAGCTGCACCAGTGACCGACTTGGCTAGAGAAACTAGCACACTCGTGCATCCACTTGCCACCCATGCATGGTGATACCATTTTGATTTCAAGATTGGATCTTTGAGCATAGAAGTGGTTGTGACTGGGGAGCTCGGTTTCAGTACTGGTGGTGGATCAGTTGATTGCAAGCTTGGGTCATCAAGTGCAATGGTAGTTGTGGCTGGATTTAGTCCTCAAACTCCCGCAGAAAATCTTGCTTCCAGTAGAAAAATCGTATTTTTTACTTTCAAAAAAGCCCCTGCCTCGCTGTTGGTTTGGATACAGAAACATATGTTTTGGGTGGTGACACCGTATAGGTCCTCAATTGGCACAAGAATTTTAGTTAAAGGACTTAATGCATGCGATAAAATATTAAGGGACCAAATCGGCTTTAGTGAAATAGTTCGAGGACTAAATTGGAGATTTTCCCTTTTCCTTTTCATGCGTTCGATCAATTATCCTTTCACTTATAGTATTAACTTCCTTGCCACCATTGCAATTGGTGAATTGATTTACATAAAATTTCTTATGTTGGTAGTCTTGCATTAAATTACTAGTCAACAGAGGGAGGATAAGAGTTTAAAAAAAATCACTTTGTTGTCTTTTAATTTATCAACTGCTTTAAATTTGAATTTTCTTCATCAATAGTCATTTTTGATCTATCAACACCGAGGTTGATAACTATCATATTTAATATCAATACCAAGGTTAACAACTAAAACTTATAAGATGGTGGGTTACGGGTGCAAATGAGTCGAAATTAATCGAGTAGCTCGAGCTTACTTAGTCAAAATTCGAAATAAAACTTGTGTTGACTAAGTTTGAATTCGAATCAAAACAATTCGACCTACTTGACGAGTCAAGCTCGAATTTAGCATCTAAAGCTTGAAAGCTTGTCGAGCTTAATTGATCTCATCGAGCTTCACATATATATACATATATGTATATGTTTTTTTATTTTTATTACTACGAAATGTTTATTTTGACTCTTATTTAAATTATATAAAATATAAATTTATACTTAATCGAGTTTAATACCAGAGACACACATAGAAATATATATATATATATATATATAGGTGTATATAAGTATGTATGTGTGTGTGTATCGATATGTAGTTCTTTAAAATAAACTTTCTATATAATCACTTTACTATTAACATTTTCCTACAATGTATTTTTTAAAGTTTTCTTCAAGATAGAATTAAAAACTTCCACAGAGAAAAATGTACTATATATAATTTTATGTGCCATAGTATCTTTTGAAATATGTAAAATAAACTTTCAAATCTTTAACCTTGAAAAAAAAAGTTATGTAATAATTTAATAAATTTGATATCAACAAAATACATATACCTTTTGTTACGCTTGGAGCAAATATTGTAATTTAAAAACATATTTATAGCTTGTAGGTTAATTAACACGTAATTGTTAATTTTTATATTTAAACTTATATTAAACATTATCTTTTGATGATTAGTTTTTCACAAGTGATTTTCAGTTTTTTGTTGATAATGTTTTGTTACACATACCTTTTGTTACGCTTGGAGCAAATATTGTAATTTAAAAACATATTTACAGTTTGTAGGTTAATTAACACCTAATTGTTAATTTTTATATTTAAACTTATATTAAACATTATCTTCTGATGCTTAGTTTTTCACAAGTGATTTTCAGTTTTTTGTTGATAATGTTTTGTCAACATGTTTTGTTAATATCAAATTTATTAAATTCTTACATAACTCATTTTTTATTCTTTAAGGTTAAAGATTTTGAGGTTAATTTTAAATATTGCAAAAGATATTATGGCATATGGGATTATTTATAGCACATTTTTAACTATAAATGGTTTTAATTCTTTCTTAAAAAATACAAAAGTTACATTATAAAGAAATATTATAGAAAGTTTATTTTGAAGAACTATATATATGATACTTTTCATTAATAATGTTTTAGCATAAAGTATGTTAGTTGTAAATATTAAAATTATATTATAACTTTCTTATTAGTTCAATATATTACATATAGAGTTGCTAATTATTAAAGCAAAGTGTACATTTGTTTTGGCTGAAAGGAACAAAGTGTGAGTAATACTAAGAGCAAAACTAAAAGAAAAATTTTCACATGTTTTGAGGACCTATTATTTACTAGGGTAAGGGTGCAAAGTGTTTTTTTTTTGGTTTTATTCAAGAGGACAAACTGACAAAGTGCGACTACCCGCAAGCTCATGAGAGCAAAATGTTATAACCCAAGTTACAATTTTAATCCGGTGGTGATGCACCTATTTGGTCCGGTGGTGGTTCAATCCCCTCTGAATTACCCCTGGACCTTCTTAGGTCCAACCCCTCTCATAGTGTAGGATAGATTAGAATATACTATAGTTGTCGTCTCCGAAAAAAAAAGTTAGAATTTTAATCATTTGAAAGCACCATTATTATTATGGGATATAAATTGAGGAAATGATCTCCTAAAATGACCATTGATTTTTCCTTTGTTGTTGCAAGGCCCTAGTATCTTATTTTACAAAGAAAATAAAAAATAGATCATAATTTCTGAACCGAGCAATAATGGTTGAGCTTGGTGTAGTCCAAACTCGATTGACATTGCAAACGAGTCCAAAATTGAGGCCTAAATTCGTGTGATCTCTGATGAATTAAGGCTCAGTCCAATGACTATAGAGTTAGGCAACCTAAGCTGCAGTAGCCCAGCCCTAAAGGAGGTGAAGGCTAACCATATACTGTTAACTATTTATTTTTACTAGGGGAGGAGTGCCCGCGCATCGCGCGGGTGTTTGGTGCCTGTGGTTGAAGAAAGTTTTTTGGTTAGACAAATAATAATACATTGCGAGAATAGTAGGTTGCGATAAATAATTAGAAGCAGGTATGATTATAAGACAAACAACATAAGAGTCTTCCAATATTAGAATCAGGAAGTTCCTGAAAACAAATAATTAGATGCAGCAAGTTCCCAAAGGGTGTACGGACAAATATTTATGATAAGTACAACAACATTAATAATACCTTCACCAATTTACCATGAACTAATGCTTGGCCCATTATTGGCCAAAACAACCCCCCTCGCTATGACATCTGCAGATATATAAAATACAACCAAGTTCTAACAGGAATACCAACCATATAATGAATTCAAATTTAAAATGCAAGTCATGGAAAAACCGCCATCAAACTCTCAAAATTACCATATTAGAGTCATGTCTACAAACAAGAAGTACCATATTGGAGTCAGCTGACTCACAAATCCAATTAATATTGTACCAAGCAACATTTTGCGAACAAAAGTTTATAGTTACCTTGCCCTTCCTCTTTGTGTCCACTTCTGTATCCAAAAGCATAATATCCTCATAGTCGTCATCCATGTCAACATCTATTACTTCAGGAAAAATTACCTACAAAGAATCCATTCACCACCATTAAGACATTTACAACAATATTTAAATAAAATGAATGGAAACCACGGTTGTAAAAATTAAAATTTGCATTAGAAAGCAAAAAAAGCAAGAAAAGGTGCTAAAAATTACTACCAAAGACCAGATGAAATGAAGAGCAACTGTCACCGAACAGAAAGCCAGTTAATATGCAATGAATACCACCCTTCCCTTAATAAATTTTCTTTCCTGAGCAGAAAAGAGGCTGAAAAGGAGCTACCAAACCACTTTGATGCAGAAAATGTTTGATCAGTGAAAAATGTCAAAGCAAATAGTTCCATTTCCGCTGCAACATGACTTGAGATAAAATAATTTCTTCATAGCAAACATAGAAAAAACCCTGAACTGCAAAAGTGGTGAACTAAGAACTTCACTGTCTAATAACTGATTAACTCTTGAACTACAAAGGAAAAAGGAAAACCTGAAGTTTATCAATTGTTAAACTTCAGCTGTTGAACCCCATAAATTCGATACTACCAAAAAGCAAAATAACCTAAAGAATGCAGAAGATGACCTTGCACCAACCACACCTTTCATGAACTCCTAATGGCAATCAAAATTATGAAAAAAGTTCCCAGAATCATGAATAAATTAGAGTTCAAACTCACAATCACTATACCCTCCAACATTGCTATGAGTCTGTGATCATACCTTTGAGGCACCATACGAGGCTTCGAAAATTGAAATGGGATTATGCTTATTCAAAGTTCTGCAAAAGTTTCCATTTTCCTAAATTCCTAAAACAATTATTCCCAAGTACCAAGCAGCAGAAATGCAGCTTAAATTCGAAACAAAAATGGGCATCTTTACTCTTTCTTCACCAATTGAAAACCAAAAAAATGCAAATCACATTCGACAAATTAATTAAAACTCTTACACAGAAAAGAAAAAGGCTGAATACCAATCATGCTAGAATTTGCGATCAATCCAAAGTCTAAAAAGAACAGACAAATGATTGGTAATTTCAGAGTAGAGTTCATACACCAGTGGCTCATCTAGCTAACAGAAGTCGGACCTAAGCAATTGAATCCAAGAAGAGGAAACGTCATAGCAGGTCACTGTAAAGGGAGGCGACGGGAAACTGAAGCTGAAAGGGGGTAACGGACCTACGTTCGTGGGGCATAAATGCAGATTAAAAGATGAGGAAGTGGGTTCCGACCAAACCATTAACAGCCATACCGGTTAGGCAACCATTGGAACGTTTCAGGTACCGGACGATTTCAACGACACCCCCTCCCACATAGAAGCAACGTTTACTTGTCCGTTTAGAGGAATAATTGGGCCTAAGGGGTATTTCGGTAATTACATCAACACACAAGCATATATGAGGTGTACAACAGGCAAAAATGGTTGCACACTCATCACATATTCCATCAATACTCAGATGGCTCATCAATGAGAACTTTAAATGTATTAAAATGGGGTCATTTCAGTAAACATATCCAAATACATGCTTTGTGAAGTTGCACCTAAAGCTGTTAGGCTAATACACAATATTTAACATTCCCAAAAAGCCCCCACCCATGCGGTTGAAATTCAACCTACTCTTTGACCAAAAACTCAATCTTATATAGTATAAGGATTCGCTTTCTCAGTTGATCAAATGTTAAATTCTGATTTTGAATAATCAATTTTTTTTAAATGACAATTGCACTTCATTTTTTATTAATGACACTTTTTTAATCATATATTCTAATAAATAATAATTATATGATAAAAATGATAATGAGAGTATCATTAACAAAAAGTGGAGTGCTATTACCATTTTTTTTTTGTAACGTTCTCATTTGCAAAATCCAAAATCTATCAAAGGGTAACTTTTTTAGATAGCTGATTATTGTATGTAATTACTTTCCAAAATTGACATTTACAAAATCTACACCAAAAGAGAGCAAGGCATATATCCATATTATAGCAAAGTTAGCACTTAATAATTTGTCACTTTTAGGACCTCCTCCTAACTTTACCTTTAACAATATATCCAATAGATGGGAAAAGAAAACAGTGCCATTTTTATCTATAACTTCTACATTTTTATATAATATATTTCATATCCATAATTACTAATAAGTTTCAATTCTTAAAAACTCTGTAAATAACTCTTACATGTTCCCATGTAATAATTGGTTAAATAACTCTTGAACTGGTTGCCATAGTTAATAATTGAGTTAAATGACATTTACCTCCCCTAAAATTTGGCAAAATTATCATATGGACTTATAATTTGACCAAATCATAGTCAAAATCTTTAGAAATTAGAATAGCAGACCGTGTATCAAGTATCCCATTTGCATCTGAGGAATTCTAATTAGATTATTTACATACATGTTTAAAAGTTCCCAAGTACCTTATGCAATTTGAGTTCCTGATGTCTACTTCCTTAGGGTTTGGAAAAATTACAGGTACGTCCAAGTGATAGTCCCAAACATTTATCAAAGAACCCCTTTTGAATAATCAATAGATCTTAACCAATTAAGTTGGAGTAATGAATCAAAATTCTAGTCAAATTTTCAAAATGGCCATGAATCCCTAATTCACTTATCCTACCATATTTTGTCATCTCCTTATAGCATACTCTTTACCTTAAGCATTTAACATTCTCCTGAAGAGTAAATGTAGGAAGAAGCACAGGACATCCCAATGTCTTGAATTTAACTAGCACCTTGATGACTAAGTTTTCAGCTCCACCACTACAAGATTTACTGTTTTCAGTTCTATAAATATTTTACAGCACCACAGATATTAATCAACATTCTCTGCCACCCTTTCAATACTGAAAATGATATATGCTGCGTGTCAAAGTTCTATTATAAATCCTTTAAAAACTCCTGAGCATCAAATTCAACAAATAACTGATGAGAGAAGTGTCAATAGCTGTGTCAAATAAAATTTTTACCGCACTATAATCAGCACAAAGAGCCCCCTTCTTCTCGAAAAATCACCAGTTTTGCCCAGAGTGGTATACATGTCTACAACCTATTTCTATTTTCCATGCTCACATTGCCTTTTCCTTCATCTCTTACAATGTTATACCAAATTAAGATGCTTTGGTATATAAAGCAGTTGTAGAAAGAAGAACTAAGGGCTAAAAAGTATACGTCAGTGTACTTGCTGTCCGTTGATGGAACCCCAAGGAAGTTGCTGTCAACTTCCCCTGCCACATTAAGTAATATTCACCATTGAGTACAAAGAACAGCTAACACTGAGCTAATTTTTTTCTCCCTGCAAATTGTACATTTTATCATAGAACCATCTCCATCAAATACACGGTAAGTCAAGTCATCCTCCCAGATGATTGGCGTGCAAGTCATAGCCCAAGTTTCATGAAACTGAATTTCAGAAAAAAGAAATGCATTAGACCACGAGTGATGAGCATTCTTATCAATTTGCTGATGAATTCCAGAACAAGTGTGGCCCAGAAAAGAAATTAAATAACAAGATGGAAAAGGATATAGTGTAAACAAAAAGGAAAGGAGGGAGCCATTCAGGATATCTCTTCAAATCAGAAAAAGTTTGAACTTAAACTTCAAATTAACCCCCCCCCCCAAAAAAAAAAAAAAACTCCTGAACCCAGAAAAATTTAAAAAGAGGCAAAATAATCGCATTAGATTAATTATAACTGATAATGGACCATCTTATGCAACTTTTTCATCAATTTATTGCGCTTGTGACCAGGAAAACTTGGCTTTGTTCATGCATTAAGTCCTAAAATAAGTTAAGAAGATTGAATCAAGACGCTAGTCATGTTCTACCAAAAATGGAAATGAAATTAGTCAAAAAGGCAGTTTCGCTCTGACTAACCTGCAGAGTATAGCATATATAATTACACGGCTAGTTTTATAAAGCATCATTCAGGACTAGTTTAACAATTTTCCAGTCTATATACATTATGTTTCGATGCTACAACGTCAGAACCATCAAATATAAAACTGTGCAGTTTGTCATTCTTTCTGTTGGGTGGTGAGTTAGAATCTGGATAGTATCTAATCAAACATTGTAGACAAGCCTCTCCATGCAATAATCACATAGTAAAATGTGCTTTGAGATAGAACTTAATTTCTACGCTAATGTTAACATGCTATTCCTTTGTGGTGTGAAAACATTTCTAAATAATTAGCCAATGCTGACTAATTTTCATAGATTGCACCCAAAGACAACCATGGTTTCATAAAATTAAAGAGACACCTCTCAGAAGGGCTACTATAAACCACACATATATGACAATAACTTGAAATTTATACATTGAAGTACCTTTGAACAGCTGCAAAAATGAATGAGTTACATAAGACGCCCAACATAATGAGCTCGATGATATTTTGATTTTAGTTGTGGCCACTGCACAAATAACTGATCAGCCATGCGTAGTTTGTAAAGAAGCAGTGCGCTTAAAGAAAGCCTCCTCACTCTTGCAATGCTTTCAACATAGAATATATATGACCATCTAATTCCAAGAATCTGAAAGTAACATAGAACATAATTAAAGCAGACTCCATCAACAATCAAAGCAGTCAAAGTTAAGTGGAAAATGTAGAGATAGAGAGACTTAAATCCTTAACCACCTTCTGAGTTTGCAACTCTGCGCCATCATATTAGTAAATTAACAAGAGGAAACTACTGAACTATAACTGTATTGTTGTACTAGTAAATTAACAAGAGGAACCTAATGATCTATTAAGAAGTTGGAAAAGAACATTGAGGTATGGCACACTTGCAGATGAAGGACATAAAACCTTGAAGATGAAAGCAATTGCGCAAAGAGGTATACAAGTTCCAGGTCCATTGCACAAAATCTGCAGAGAGTACAAATAACAGAACCAACAAAGCAAAAGGGTAAGAGGAGAAAAAGCCAGGACTTCACCAGTAGTTTATAGAGAGAGTGTCGTGTATAAGGTATATGAAATACCACATGAGGTCTGATCTTTATCATTAGCCACAATGCATGAGCCAAAGCAATTAAGGTGGTTCCAACAGAGGTTATATATGATTGACCGACCTCTCGGCTTCGGTATATCTGCATGAATTTAGCAGATCCAACCTCTTCATCTCCTCCCTAAAACAAGAGAAAGCAGTTAAGAATGCCTTCGTTGGTTCTTCTTCTACTAGACAGCCTAAGTAGGGGAAGAAATCTCCATAGCACATAAACAAACTAAAATGACCCATCAAAAGGAGCCCAACTCTCAGGTACAAACTTAATGTGTTCATTAAATGAAGAACATATGTTGGATGTTTCATCCCATGAAGACACAAGAATTAACAAAAACATGTAATTTTCTCTTATTAACTACCGAATCTAAACTAAGCACATTAGAAAGTGTTGTATATCAAAAGCTGGATGTAGATAGATTTGACCCAACTGCTAAGAAACAGGAACAAAGATAGTGCATTTGGACCTTTGAGACAAACAGAGTTTTCAAGGCTATAAGAAAATCATTTTAAAACAAAGCAACCTGCATTTATAGTTGCAATTCTTGTGGAAACCAAACCTTTATACTTGGATTTTGGAGTAAGGAGGTTGATTCTGATGACTAACTGTTAAATACTGAAAAGAGGCTGTCACTTATCACATGAATGATCCAAACAGATGTTTATATGTCCAATCCGTTCCTTTTCATAAGCTTTACTGGATCACTGATGTAAAATTAATGATTCATCCGATTATCTTTTGTCAATAACAATAGAAGAATAATTCTCTAAGCTAATAAATAGTTCAATCTAATATAGATCAATACGACGATTCACATCCTAGATTAGTTGTGCTTGAGTATCCACAGAATACAGTCCTACTAATAAAGATAAATTCAGTAATCAAGAGCTCAACAGCACAAAACGGAACAAAATACCTCATTGAGCCAAGAGTTTTCAAGAACTTGTGCCTTTTGAAGGCTCATGTTATCAGTCGCAGCAGCAATATAATACCTAGGCGTAAAACTATTTTTCTGAAGCACGTTCAACAAATTAATCATCTCTGCTGTATGACCACCTACCGTTACAAATTCATTGCAAGAAAAAAATATATAAACAAACCCATTAATAAAAATGGAAAAATCAACAAAACCCACAATCCAAAACTCAAAAATAGATCAAATAATAAAGGATATGCATACCCGAACCCAGAACAATGAGGGTGCTGAGGGGCTTTTGCTGTGACGAGGCACTACGAGGTTGGCTGCTCCGATGTATAATGTATAAAGCCCGGATCAAGATCAAGGTAATAAACCCAATAATTGATAAAAGTACTAAGCTTGAAGGTGTGATTGAGAGACAATAATGATTGTTGCTATTCTCCATAGTTACCGTTTACCCTACATCACACTGAAATTAGCTAAAGAATCAGCTAATAAAACTAGGGGAAATTTGTTTAATTGGAAAATAACAGATCAAGTAGGTTGAGCAGGGTTGACGAGGGATACGGGGCAGGAGCGGTCCTCAGAAGGACCGCTCCTGAACGGTCCCCTCACAGAAAGAAAGGTAAGGCCAGAAATAAACCACGTCAACTGGTTGTTTTGAAGGAAAAAAACGTCACCGTTTGACGAAAGGAAAAAAAATAAGATTGACGGACTCCGTTTCCTCTAAACGGAAGAATTGAAATTTTGAAAACGAAGTTCAAAATTTCAATTAGCCGCACAAACCAAAACCGAGAGAAGAAAGCAAGCTGGGTATGTCATTGTTGCTTGGCTGACGTGAAATTAGGTGGAGAGAGTTGGGTTATGGCATCAGAAGAAGAAGGAAGAAGGCAAACAGCTAGAATGCTGTAAAAGAAGGCCAACGATGTCTTCAGAAATTGTATGAGCAATACGGGCAAGACAGCCGGCAAGGTAGAAGCGAATTAAAGAGGAAATTCATTATTTGACGTTGCCCACCATTTTTTGTGCAACTTAATAGCAGAAGCAACTGTGCATAAGGGCATTGGGTGAAACAAAAAGCTCTCAACGGGCCAAGGTAACGTGATTCAACCATATCAACAACTTTGTGAATCTTATACCAGCAACTTTTCTGAATGTTAGATTCAGTAAAGACATAATATGAAGATAATAGAAGAATAGTCAATGTGTACTGTATGTGTGTGTGAGAGCGTGCAGTTTTGCAGTGATGAACTATTTAACAAGTGAATGAATGTACATGCTGCTGTAGATAAGTTACAGGTTATAACCACCCTATTACAATCTTTGTGCATCCACTAATTGGTCCATGGTCATCACGCAATCTTAGTTTGCCCCTCTGTTGAGTATGCAGTGTGTATAAAATGGAAGTCTGGGGTTTGACCTAGGAAAAGCAGAGGAAAAGATATATGTGAATAATAAATAGATGTACCTGGTTTTGTAAGTAAATTACATGATGTAAGAAATGTATTAGAATGAGTAAAAAATACTTGTTTGGCCCTGAAAATGTAGAAATAGTAGAAAATGCACAGGAATTGGCTTAGGCGATTGTCAGTAACGAATTACATAACGTCCAATGAAACAAAGTACCTAGAACCTAAATATAATCACCAGAGTAGATGTACATATAGTTAAAATAGACTTACATGGAGTGAAAAACACATTACAGTCCGTATAACTTAGTGTACATGGAGTTATATTTGTACATAGATAATGCCATTGTATTAGAGTAAAAGTAAAGTGATGTGAATCATTAATCATATCGATGGGAGTAATAATAGAATTTGGTATACGAGTAATGTGTGTAACATAACATATTATAAACGGTAATACACACTTATGTTGTCGTTTACATACATACTATTCATGAACTATTGTAACTTATGGTGTTGGATGCATAATTGGTAGGAGCAGAAGTAATGAATTGTAGAGAAATTGGCAGAAGATGGGACTCATGAGTTAGGAATGGAGTTCAACATGGAAGAGGATGCGTACAAGTTTTACAACAAATATGCCTTTAAAATGGGATTTAGTGTACGCAAAGACTATTTAAATAAACACAAAGACTATTTAGTGTATTTTATGCGGTTGTCATTAACGAATGACATAAGATCCAGTGAGCTAAAGAATCTAGAATCAAAATATAATGATCAGCGTGGATGTACATACAGTTAAAATAGACTTACATCGTGTGACCAATACATTACAATCCGTATAAGTTAGTGTACATGGAGTTGTATTTGTACACAGATTGTCTTAGAATAAAAGTAAGGTGATGTGAATCATTGATCATATTGATAGCGTAATAATAGAATTTGGTATACGAGTAATGTATGATTCATAAGACATTATGAATGGTAATATACATATATGTTGTCGTTTATGTACATACTATTCATGAAGTGTTGCAAATTAGGGTGTTTGATGCATAATTGGTAGGATCAGAAGTAATGGATTGCAGCAAATTGACAGAAGATGGGACCCCTGAGTTAGGAATGGAGTTCAACAGCGAAGAGGATGCGTACCAGTTTTACAACAAATATGCCTTTAAAATGGGTTTTAGTGTACGTAAAGACTATTTGAATAAAGACAAAGACGGCGTGACCACGTCTAGGAGATATAGTTGCTGCAAGGAAGGTGTAAAGCGCAAGTACGAAGGTGATGTGATGCCAAAGAGGACACGAGCGCCGACGAAAACAGGGTGTGGAGCTAAAATGGTTATCGTGTTGTTTAGAGGAACAATGAAGTACCGTGTGCATGACCTTGTCTTAGAGCATAACCATGAGTTGCACATTGCTCAATGTGCGCACATGATGCCATCACAAAGAAAAGTGAGCGAGACTCAAGGATTCCAAGCTGAAATAAGCGAGGACGCTGGGCTTTCATTGAAACAGAGTCATGAGCTTATGGGAAAGGAGGCAGGTGGGATGGGAAATGTGGGATATACTCGGGAAGACCTGAAACGATATCTTCGTACTCGACGGGAAAGGAGTTTGAAATATGGAGAAGCAGGTAGCATGCTGAATTATTTTCAAGAGCAAACACTCGAGAATCCATCGTTTTTTCATGCCGTACAGCTGGACTGTGAAGAGCAAATAACGAATATCTTTTGGGCTGATGCAGGAATGTTAATTGACTACAAATTTTTTGGAGACGTAGTCACATTCGACACAACCTACAAAACAAATAAAGAATACCGGCCACTTGGAGTGTTTGTGGGTTTTAATCAACATAGGCAAATTGTGATATTCGGTGCTGCCCTTATGTATGATGAGACTATAGATTCTTTCAAATGGGTGTTTGGTACATTTCTAGCAGCAATGTGCGGAAAGCGTCCAAGTACCATACTAACCGACCAAGATCATGCCATGGCAGCCGCTCTTTCAGTTGTTATGCCTGAAACATTTCACGGTCTATGTACGTTTCACATAAGGCGTAATTTTATGAAACATCTTGGCAATCACTACAAGGAAAATAGTGATCTTCCATACATGTTTGGTGCATGCATGTATGAGTTTGAAGAAGTGGAACAATTCAATAGGGTGTGGGAGGCGATGGTGAAGAAACACAATCTTGAAAATAATGAATGGCTCTCTGGGTTGTATAGAATTCGTGATAAATGGGCAAGGTGCATGATGAAAGAAAGATGGACCGCGGGAATGCGAAGCACCCAACTTAGCGAAAGCCTAAATGCAGCAATTAAAAATCATTTGAAACTGGATCATGACCTTGTGCAGTTCTTTAGACATTTCAATCGGGTGGTTGATGAAAAGAGACATAATGAACTGATCGCAGAATATGAAATGAGGCAAAAGCTCCCCATGATCGGGTTAAGGCAAACACCTATGCTTGTGCATGCATCAGAGACGTATTCACCAACCGTATTTGTTGCATTCCAAAATGAATATGGCGAGTCAACAGCTATGGTTATATTGAGACAGCAAGATGCAGCGATGATTGTGGAGTTTGCGGTCATGAGGTATGATGGAGGACCTGAAAGAATAGTGGTATTCAATCGAAATGATCTAAGTGTACGTTGTAGTTGCAAAAAATACGAGAATGAAGGCATTTTATGTGGGCACGCGTTGAAGGTGTTTGATACTGTGGGCATAAAAATAATTCCTCCTGAATACATTAAGAGGCGATGGACAAAAAGAGCTTGGGCTGGAGACTGTTTTGATCGACGAAGACGGGAAGTTGTGGCTGATCCTAAAATAATGATTTCAACTCGTTATCGGGAGCTCGCTCCAGCCATGATTAAGGTCGCAACTCGAGCAGCAATGTCGGAGGACACCAGCAAAGTAGCAATCACTGTCATATCCGATTTGGCAAAGAGAGTTGAGCTCCTCCTCTCAGAAAGTGAAGAACAACCTTTGCAAAATCAAAAAAATCTGAATATGGAGGAACGGGATAAAATTGAAATTATGAATGAAATGGGGGAGGCAGTAGTCGCAAGAGGCATTAAAAAACGAGGTGGTGGGAAGAAAAGTAGAGTGATGCGAAATTGGATCGATAAATTTGACAGAGTAAAAAGAAAATCTAGATTATCAAGAACTACACAGACTACGGTATGGATCAAATTTTGGTACTCGGGGAACATTTATGCTAAAACTAAGTTATCGTTATGCTATTAACTAAAGTTTAGGTATCATTCATTATGAAATAATATTATTGCCGTGTCAATACTGTAGGCCTCAGAATCGGAGCCGACATCTGTTTCATATGAGGAATACATGTTTATGGGATGTCGTTCATCTACTGACTCTGTTTCGGTTAGTATAAAACGGACATGACTGTTGCTTTTATTTGGATGTTTCTAACAGCATAAATAGTTACATTGATCTTACATTGTGTGATAATGTTGTTACGGCTGTCATCCCTCCTGATATACCTATTTTGTTTGTCTTATACAATGATTTGGTCCATACGAAACTGGTAGACGCATTCAATGAGCCAGACAGTGAATGACCCTCCAAACGCTATTGCTCCGAATATCGATAAAAGTGAAACGGTATGTATATATTTAGTAGTTAAAATAAAGACCTTCTTATTCGTGTAGTAGAGCTACCTTTTTTTTAGGGTTAATATCAGAAACCTCCCTTGAGGTTTCTTCTAATCACACCTAGAACCCCTCATGTTTTCGAAATTACACTTAGCACCCCTGGAATGACAACTTTGGTATCATTGTCCGCCCCTCATTATTTTTGTTCCACTTTTACCGTCCTTGTGAACTCTATTTATGTAACTCACATCCCTCCACGCAAAGGTAACACTACAAAATCGTTCTTAAGCAGTGTAACATGTTTTGAACATTTTGTAATTTTATGTAAGCTTCTTGTACATCTTTATAATAGATTGCATTTCTGTTATTAAGTTTACAAATAATTCACATAAAGTTACACATTGTTTAAAAAATGTTACATTGATCTGAACGATGATAAAAAAAAATGTGACTATGGATTGTCATAATGGCAGCAATAGTTTCAATATGTGATTGTAGTT